ATCAGTTAACTTCTTCTTATTTTGTTTTTTCCAAAGTCTCAAAAAAATAGACAACTAATATTTATAAATAAAAGATAATTTCAAAAAAACAAATCATACCAAATCTTATAGACAATAGAAAAAGAAATACTTCAAAATCATTCTACTTAATCTGGATAGACCTGATATTAAAATTGTATTAAAATTACAACTCACTCAAGGGCAATACAGTGAGCCCCTAAAGTCTGTCTCTAAAAAAAAAAGGAAAGAAAGTAAAGACAATGCACTGAAGGAGTGAGAAGTATTTGTAAATGACACATCTGATAAGGGACAGGTACCTAGAACATTTGAGAATGAACATTTACTCAAAAACATGTACAAAAGGATTCACAGCAGCAGTAGTCATGATAGCCAAGAAGTAGAAACAACCCAAGTATCCATCAAGGGATAAATGGATAAACAAAATGTGGTGTACCCATACAGTAGAATATTTGGCAACAAGAAGAATGATGAACTTTGAAAAAATGCTAAATAAGCCAGTCACAAAAGGCCATGTATTATGAGATACTATTTGTATGAGAAGTTCAGGAGAGGCAAGTCCATAAAGACAGAAGATAGATTAGTGGGCACTGGTAGAGGGGAGAGAAAGTGCCTAGCAGCAGGTATGGACTTCTTTTTTGGATGATAAAAATGTTCTAAATTGTATAGGTTTTTTTTTTTTTTGCCGTTTTTGGCCAGGACTGGGTTTGAACCTACCACCTCCAGCATATGCGGCCGGCGCCCTACTCCTTTGAGCAACAGGTGGCACCCTGTTTTGTTTTGTTTTGTTTTAAATTTTATAGTTTTTTGAAACAGGGTCTTACCCTGTCTCCTGGATCAGAGCGCGGTGGCATGATCATAACTCAACATAGCCTTCAATTCCTAGCCTCAGCTTATCTTCCTGCCTCAGCCTCCCAAGTAGCTGGGACTACAGGTACACACCACCCCTGGCTAATTATTCTATTTGTTTGTTCATTTGTTAGAGATGGGGTCTTGCTCTTGCTCAGGCTGGCCTCCAATTCCTGGCCTCAAGTGATCCTCCAGCCCTGGCCTCCCAAAGCGCTAGGATCATAAACATATTCCATTGTACCCAGCCAAAATGTTCTAAAATTGATTCTGGTGATGGTTGTGCAATGTTGTAAATATAATAAGACCAATGAAATTTAGGCGGCATCTGTAGCTCAAGGAGTAGGGCACCAGCCCCATATACCAGAGGTAGTGGGTTCAAACCTGGCCCCAGCCAAAAACTGCAAACAACGAAAATAAATTTTATACTTGAAGTGGGTAAATTTCATGATACGTAAATTCTAGCTCAATGAGAATGTTAAAAATAAGAGAGAGAAGAAGCATTTCTTTTTTTCTTTTTGTGATAGAGTCTCACTATGTCGCCCCTGGTAGAATGCTGTGGCATCACAGCTCACAGCAACCTCAAACTACTCTTGGGCACAAGCAATTCTCTTCCCTCAGTCTCCCAAGTAGCTAGAACCATAGGCACCCATCACAACACTCAGCTACTTTTTTGTTGTAGTTGTCATTGTTGTTTGGCAGGCTCTGGGCCGGGTTCGAACCCACCAGCCTGAGTGTATGTGGATGGTGCCCTAGTGGCTGAGCTACAAGCGCCAAGCCAGAAAAAGCATCTCTGAAAAGTCAGTCCTCTAGGGTAAACTCATAGTTTTGTATCTTTTTCTCTGAGACACAGGATCCTCATCCATGAGCTACAGTGTACTAGTTATTCTGGTTAATCCTCACTTGGTTACTGGGGTGCCAAGGTATTAACCCTGTCAGTCCTCAAGGCAGCCAGGTGGAGTCTTGGTTATCTGGTTATTAGTCCTTCTCAGTACACAAACACTTTCATTTCCGATACAGATCATGATAGGAGGAAAGCTGGAATGTTCACTCTAAGCAAAAGCTTTCTGGTTGGGAGAAGAGCCAGTTTCCCATTTTTGTACCCTATACTATGCCCTCTTCTGGGCAAAACACACCTCAGGGCTAGAACTGTAGTGCCAGTAGGAGGGCATGCCAGGTGACAGAGTCCAGGCTGGCCCCTCCTATAACACTCTTCACCTTCTCAGATGTCTGTCCCATCTGCAGCCTCTCTTTCCCCCAATCTGTTGTGTGAACCTCACTTCCACATCCTCCCCATCTTGCTCTGATGATCTAATGACCCCCAAACTTAAACACAAGATATAATCCAAAAAAATCACATAGATACAGTCTGAGAGTGGAACAGTGGTTACCAGGGGCCGGGGAAGGGAGAGATAAGTATTTAATGGGGACAGAGCTTCAGTTTGGCAGATGAAAACAGTCTGAAATGGATGGTGGTGATGGCCACACAACAATGTGAATGAACTTAAAACCACTGAACTGTTCACTTAGAAAAAGTTAAAATAGTTAATTTAATGTTATGTATTTTCTACCATAATAAATCACAAATGCATTTACAAAAATCAAATATTTTATATTTCATTTTTAATTTATGATTTAGTTAAATTATAAAAATGTACATCTGTAATTCCTGAGGTACAGATCTTAGAATCTACACTATGTACATTGTTATTATAGTCTTCTGTTTATTCCATTGTATATGTCTTTAACCTGTTCCAGTGTCCTTCAGAAGACAGTAAGACAGATGTCCCCAAACCTTTCACATTACCCTGCTGGCTCTTACCACTTTGTTGAGCTCTGGGCTGTCTGGGCTGTTGTCCTGGAAATACTCCACAGCCTTCTGAATCTTGGCCATGCTTCCCAGGTACTCTTCCAGCCTACCTGTGGGGCTGGGAAGGAAAAGAGCCAAATCAGGCTGGCAGGGTAGGAGAGGCATAGGAGGGACTAAGAGCATGGTGTG